AAAAGGACCTTACTCTATTCGGGAGACGAACAATTCACATCCAAGTTTGTGAATATTGTGGCATCTTGGTAAAGTAGGTGTCTTCAAAACCAAGCAAGTAGTATGCGGTGATGTGGACGGAACATGATCAAATGATCTTGCTGTTTCATACCTCACATTGAGTACACATGTTATATAAATTCAAGTGGTTGGTTTCCAATTATTGCAATTTGGTCCCCTGTCAAGTCAAGTGAAGTCTCAAAAGTGCATTGTTTTTCTTAACGAATGCACCGACACCGTTTGCTTGCCCCCTTGTTTAGGAACACCATTAGCTAGGGGCTCCTGGCATCGCTACGAACGGAGCAAGGACGCGTTCGTAGTATGCTCCTAGTGGTCGTATGGCCAGGAGCCCCGTTCGTAGCGATGGAGGTCTTGGGAGTCGAAAGGAGACCCGCTCAGCCGCCCTGCCGTCCTCCCCGACTGCTCAGCTCCAGGGGGTTGGCAAAATCCTCACGACCGCGGTAGTTCCCAACGTTCGATTCATCCCAAGAGAGGTTGAGAGACCTTATAGGACCTGTAGTAGTACACGTGGGATGGGCTATAAGATCTATAAGGCTGTTCAACCTGTCTTGGTTGGTGTTGGAGCGAAGCGAATTGGGTTCGCAGCTTCTTGCGGGGATTTCTTCCCCTCAATAGCCCTGGAGGGCCAGAGGGATGCCCCGCCTGATGGGTGAACGCATTTTTACATTAATCCGTTCCCAGGTAGATTGCCGTGACACCAAATACACAAGGACTCCTTAAAGTGATTCCAAGCACATTGAGAATGTACAAGGCAAAGGAGTGGAACCCATGGTTGAACATAACACATGATAGAAGGACCCCTTTGAATTGAATGACACTGCCTGATGCTTCCTCAAAAGGATAAAGCTCCTCGCAGCCGTAGCAAAGACATCTGAATTCATATATATATATATATACCTTATTTGTTCTTGTTCTTCCTGACACGAATCTCCCGAAACCTGCGTGACAGCCTCCAGTTTCTCCAACCCATCAGGGTCCTCGGGGTCTTGACACAAGGAGGCCAGGTCAAGGACCTGGCGAGGCCACATCAAACCTGGAAAACACATATTTATGTTTATAGTTATTCTGGATGTTTCCAATGTCCCAACTCTACCATCCATTCGGGGGTGCCGTGGTCGTACCTCTAAAGTATCCTCAAAGAAACATCACACGACCTCACCACGTGGTGAGGCTTTCAGCTTGGACGACACCATGGGGGGCACCCACAGGGATCTGTCCCAAATTGTCTGACATGTTCTGGGTCGAAAGCTTTCTTGCGGGAATCCCTATAAAACTGAACGTGCCTGCCCATGTTGTTTGTCTTCAATGTATACGATACATGGACGTATGCTTGACCACGCCCCATCCCCATCCATGAATCCATGCGATCGGGCTGACCGGAAAATCCAAATCTCGTGCAATCCTGCCACGAGAAACCATCGCGGATCGACGCGCGCGTACGTAGAAGTCGCATTGCAGCAAAGAATCATAGGTTCATGGTCAAACACAAACATGTTTTATCTTGATGTCTATTTTCAGAAGAGAACTGATTCTGATTCAAATGGTGTAGCTTCCTAGCTCATTTTGGTACAGTATGGTACAGTAAGTAACCAAAATAGTGGCAATCTGTCGCAGCAGTTGCTATGGATCGATGAGCCCAGCCAGAACTCTATTTGTTTTTCAGGATGTACCTCACTCACTTTCATCCAGAAAATCAACAGGCAGGTCAAAGACTTCTTGAATGTCTTTGACTTTTCATTAATATTCTATAGTAGAAAATGCTTAATCCCCCTCTTCCTCCCAGTCAACAGTGGGGGGGCCAGGGAATTGCCTGTGGACAACCTCCGAGGCACAAGTCTGGAAAAGGCAAGTCTGGAAACCGCTAAGGGTGGCAGTTTTGCCTCTTGTGTCAAGTCATTGAGTAATTTCTTGCTTGGCCTAAGAAGTGGTCAGTGACTAATTGAAGGCGTTTGGGCCATCTGGGATCGAGAACCTGCCAGCTCTGAGAAACCACAACATGGGCACTACAGCAAAGAAAAACATAAAAAAAAACACATCAAATCCACGACAGGCTCTGCCAAGCAAAGGCACGGTGCTCGGACCTCACTTGGACTGCCGAATTTGGCGCACTTGGCATGTCTTCCTCTGAACATCATATTGTATAGAGTATGGTCATCCTGGAGAGAATATGGGAAAGTCCAAAAAAACATTAGATCATTAGGAAACTGATCATGTTTTTGGATCTACACACCAATATGTACAGTACCTCTATGGTCTTAAGGGGGTCAATTGGCCTCCACCTCGCCGCCAGGCATTTGGGGTTTGGCAACAACGCCCTCCGTTAGTGGGGGCGACTCCGGATGCTTCTCTCCAGCCGATCAAGACCTCTCCTCCGGATGCGACTGTTGTGCAACCTGCGCGACGGGGGAAGCCGTGCAGGCTGCGGCGCGCTGGCACAGGGCCCCCTGAGACCAGCTTCGCCCATGATCCTCATGGTGCGTGGTGGGTTTCCAGACTGTAAGTTCCTCATGCCAATCAAATCTTGATACAAGATCCTTGCCTTGCAGAAAATGATTGTTGTTTGGATTTATTTGGAATGGAATGGGTTGCATGACTACCTGAGATAGTCTGTTCAACAGCTTGCTTCAATGTAAACTCCCCCTGTCTCAGTGTCCCTTGCTAGATTGGCACAGATTAATGACCCAGACCTTTCCATGTGTCCTTTCCAATGGATCAGAATCAGTAAACAAATGCAGGGGAGGGTTTGTTGGAGATGAGATGCCTTCCCATCAACATGTTTGGTGATGTTGTTGAATTTTTTGAATCCCCAATTCGTCCAAGCTAGGAAATGACGGTCGTGGGAGATCCTCGAAGTGCGTCTTTCAACTTTTCTAGAGACCTCTTGGCCTCTTGGTGAAAAGAAAATTTCCTGTAGAAATCAAATGACCTAAATTGGCATGACTGAGATGATATAAAGCTGATGAACCAGGACTATCTCATTCGGTGTTAGGAACTCTGCAAAGGGAGAATACGACCTATTCCTGAGCATGACCCTTCAGGTGAAGTTTGAGATGCCCCTGGAGTGTCTCTACAACAGGGTTCAGTCGCAGGGTCGTCTTTTCTTAATCTTGCCCGTTTTCGGCCCGAAAACGCGGCCTCCGCCAGTTGTCCGTGTTCCATGTGTTCCGTGCCCAAACGAATGGAGGGACCCGTACGTACGGTCCACGTGTTCTTCAAAGGTCTCAAAACACACCCCGACAAAATGGAACTCATGGGCGAGTTGGCATACTCTCTGTGCCTGGAAGCCTGGAAGTAACATGGAAGTGGATGGCACCACCTGTTCGTAGAGGAAATTATGAATGACCCTGGAATGAACTGAGCTGAACTTTAGTTGCTCCCTCACAGTTCACCTAAGTTTTGTTGGTGCATGAATACCATAACTCTCTTCTTAAGCAGGACTACGCCTTTGGACGAATCGTCAAGTTTCTTGCGACCATGACGAAGGTTAACATCATACATCAGCCACGTTACGTTGTTCATGTTATTTCAAATTCTCCGGCTGACAGTTTCATCCACATGTCCCAATAATTTCCCTCGATCAATGTGAATTGCTGCTTGATTAATGGATGCAACAAGCTCACCACCTTAAACTCATTGTAGAGAGCTCTTATTCTTCTCCCTTGACCCTCTTGGGCCTGGTTTTAATCCAGTCAACTGCAAGTCTTGTAACAGCACTTCACTTTGTAGGTTTCTATAATTCATATACTTATAGGATATTATAGGTAAGAATATATATATATACAATATATATATATATATGGTACCCCCCCCCAAAATCAACACTTTCAGACAAATAGGGGAGGTGGGGGGTACCAACAAATCTGAATCTGCAATGTGCATGTGGCGTCTGATCAAAATGCTAAATGAACATCCTCCTACATCTGATCAAAAATATATATTTAATATAAGCTATATACTGGTGGTATAAATTTTCGATTTTCTTGAGCCTGCCAGCACTTTTGCAAGGTGGGGTACACCAAAAACTGCGAAAACACTGGCAGGCTCAAAACAAATAAAATTTCAAAAGGCAGAAAGATCTTTGGGTAGCGACCGGAGAGCTGTGCACTTGGGAAATGAGAAATTTCCTAAGAACAGCGTAGTGCACTTTGATCGCTGATGAGATCTGCAAGGCAAAATGAGCTGTTTGTGCCAATGCATCCAAAGGCTTCATCTGTTGTACATCTGCTTGGCCATCACGAACAAATCTGCTTTCAATACATCTGCTTTAGCATCAAGGACAACTCTCACATACAAGCAAGAAATTTGTCTGAAAACTTTTTTTTTTTGGGGGTAGCATATATATATATATATTAATATATATACATATAACCTCTTCTTGGGCAGAAATTTCTGCCTATTATGGGTAAAGGCGACTTTGCCCGTGCTACATTTGTTTGTCAGGAATTCACTTAATGTTTCTCTTGTGATCTCTTTTGTATGTTTTTAGTTTTTCTATGCTTTGATTCATTGCTTTAATATTTTTTTGCGTAGGTGTTCTTCCCGTCACTTAGGCGTTCTTACCCGTTACTTGGGCGTTCTTGCCCGTTACTTAGGCGTTCTTGCCCGTTCCCCCCTCACTACAATCAGTAGTTGGACGGACAACGGAATGGTAGCCTTTTGGGGGGGAGTGAGCGACATGAGTTTCAAAAACTTTAGACTGGGGATTAGCGTCAAGTGGCAGGCGTTTGTTTTCTCAATTTTTGTCATTCAAATTCTGGCTCTGCCTCCTGCATGTAAGAATGCATGTGACAGCTTAGGCGTTCTTTGCAAAAACGGGCTGAATTTTCTGCCTAAATGGCGTTGGGCATCGTTGGGCGGAAATTATTGCCTAACGAGGTTCTAGGCGTTTTTTCACATAATTATCATTGTCACTCTCCCCCAAACCCGGCTGTGTCAAGGGTTTGGCCAGACCGGCTTCCAACCCGTGGCGACGAGTAAGGAAACTGGTCTTCTGGGCCATGCCATGCACTTCCATAGAGTTCCAGGGAGTGTATTCCTCACATGTTTCCAATGGACTCTTCCAGGGAGTGAGTCACTGTACCGTCCGCCCATGTGCTTCACTGTCCGGGCACCGGCGGCGCAGAAAGGGATGTGAAGCCGATGAAGATTGAGACCCTCGCGATCCACTGGCACCTTCTCAAAAGGTACGACTGGACCCTCCTACATCCAAAGTGGCTGGGAATCCTCCTCACGGTCTGTGGATCCAGAGGGAGATCAAGACACATCCAAATCATCACCAAATCTGGACCAAATCTCTTATAACCATTATTCATCATTATTCTGTTGAGCCCGGATTCCAACCATCTTCACACCGAATCCTTTCATGGACCAGTCACCAGGCACGAGTACCACTCACATCTGCACGACGGTGGACCTTCCCCCACCGCGACGCACACGACCAGAGCTCCGGTCATCTCTTTTCGTGCGCGTCTCGGGGAGCTCGGTGGCTCGGACGAGCTGCTGAGCTGCGCAAAGGCGGGCTCCAGATACACCATCGCCCGCGGGGTGTTTCTGACCGTTTCTGAAAGGATCTAGCCGTACTTGTTCCTCAAAGCTTTGTTGCTGGTGATGTGCAAGTTTTTCACCATCACATATCCACCTGCACGGAGTCAACTCATGGAGAAAAGTCGAGGCTTGGGTCGAGCCATCCAACATTTGAACATGTCTTTAGACGAGCTATATCTGCAAAAAGGATCAAAAAGGTGTGGCAAGCCAGTGAAGCCATCGGACCCCCCCGGGCCCCCCTCACATCCCGTCACACGCTTCCACCCACCGTGAACCGGACCAGACATGACTCTCTCACCATCTGACTCTCTGTCGGGTGACCAGTGTTCGGGTTGTACATGGGCGTGGCAGTCCATAGAAAGATTGGCTTGACGTCATCGATCTTCGCTTTCACCTTCGAGAAGGCCTGGGTCAGAAGGCCTGGAGTTGAGTAACCCGAAAGGTAGTGAATTTATCAATTCGGAGCTGACCACCTCAAATGATTTGGGTATACCCTTGGTGTTATCAACAGGTTGCCTAGGCACCCTAGCTCCTGAACTTTATTAGACCTGTGACCTGGTTGCCAAGGGCTATGACTTGGGTGGAGAAACCACCTCACATGGTGCAGGTCATTCACATGTCCAAAACAGTGCCCAGGGGATGATGATGGTTACGTTGCATGCAGGCTTTGTTCAAAAATCGTGGATGATTCTTTACTGACTGTTACAGCTAAGAACGGACAGACCGGGCTTAGACCCTGGCACCCACCCCTACCACCTTCGAACCGGAAGTTCTAGTACCCAGACGCTCCGTTCACAGCCCTTGGTCCCTCAGGACGTCGGGATTGGTTCGACCCCAGACCCCTTGAGAGGAGTCGGGATCCGACCCCTCCAGAGTCGGGGCCGAACGGGTCGCGTTGATCCTTCGGTCAGATCCTTCGGTCGAAGCGACTGCGTCCCTGGAAACCGACCGCTGAAGCCGCTGGTGCCGGTACTGCGTCTGGTCGAGTCTGGCCACGGCTGCAGCAGTGACACCAGTGCTTGGTGCTTATTATAGTGCTCTTTGCCTGGATCCCACGGGTTTAGGCTTTTAGATCGATGGCTTTTGCTTGGTCCTGCTTGGGTGGACCCCCTCCGTGGCGCCTTTCACCGAGGTGGTACCCCCCATGCGGCCACCAGGGGATCCGACCCTTTTTCAGACCGGTCGCCAGTGTGCGGTCGCGGGTCGTGGGTCGCCGTTGTGGCTTGAAGCATGTTCAATGTATGCCATATATGCCGATCAATCGGGGTGGTTTGGGGGGTCAATTGATCGGCATATATCATGCATGGAGTGTATGGGAAACGGTATCGATCCAGCTCCTCACGGAGTTCATCTCGGATCCTGAAGACTCGCTTCCCCGTTCTTGGCGCGCGCGGGAGTGCGCTCCCCTCTTCGCGCGCGCTGCTTTGCTTAGACCGAGCTTCACTGCCGATCTTCTGCCCGATGGTTTTCTTCTTCCCATACGTCACACCCTGCGTGCCTTTGCCGATGAAGCAATGTTTCTTGCTCAGCTGCACGAAGGGCGCGCCGAAACTCATTTCCTTGTTAATGTCGCGCCTGGGTGGAAACCCATGGGCGCCTGGGAGAAGCGTTGAGAGTGGTGCCTCCGAGTTGAAAATCGTGGTGCTTCAATAAGAGTTGGATCTGCCACCCGGACTATGACTCTACATAGGGACCCATCATAGCGAATCATACCTTCTGAGAAGGTGGGGAGTTGGGGATGTTTCAAACGCTTCTGATGCCGTTGGATCCACAGAAGCAACATCGTCCCATCTTCACAATGCTCAGTCAAGGAACAACCCGCCAAACCTTCAGGGTCTTTGTTTGTCATGTCAATGCCATGCCAAGTCTCTTGAATGGGTTGAGGATGCTGCCGATGCTGTGCGGGTTGGGGCACTTTTCCAATCCCAAATCATCCTTTGCCATGGCCTCCGCAGCAGTGTTGCTGCAGCAGCACTGTGTTTCCTCCTCCGCACACTCCAAACAAACAGACCTGTCCCACTGGCTATTGATCTGGGTGCCACAGCATCTACACAACACATGCGGTGGTGACAATGGTGATCTAGAAATCTGGTAAGAATAATAAGTACAACTGCCATGGTAAAACATGGAAGAAAATGCCTCGAAACATGTCATGCCTGGCACCCAACTGCAGAACAAAAGGCAGAAATTCCAATTCCAACCTGACACAAAACTCACCATCAGCAGTCCTCATTATTGCCTATGCCACACTTGAACAATCCTCTGCCATTCTTCCCCCGGCGCTTGTAGCAATCGCAGTACTCGTTGTGCCAACCCACAGGGCAGCCATCCTCAATTTTAGATGAAAAAAGGAAGATCAAGGATCCAATATGATTCATGATCCAATAAGTCTTGGAACTCCCAACCTCCCAGGTCACCTTTCCTGGATCTTCCAGCTTCACGAGTTCCACCTCCAGGTGGACGTGCTGAGCCCGGACCGTCCCGGACCATCGGAGTGGTCCACCGGCTGAAGAACGAGAGCCGTAGGCTGTTGATTCAGAAAACCTGAAAACCACTGCCGGGGGGGTTGGAGGAACATCGTCTTCCAAAGCTCCATTTTCAGGTTCCATGTGAATCTTCCAGGATGTAGATCGCCAGATATCACCAGGTCTAGTTCAGCTTCACTCTGGAGCCTTTTGGGTCAGGTCGCTTGGTGAAAACAAACATCTTGTGAAGTGGAGATGCTTGGGGTCTTCGTCCAAGAGAAGAGGAATAGGAATAGGATGGGAGTCCAGAGTCTTGAGAGATGGCTTCGAGCACGTCCGGCTGGGCATCCGGAGTATTGACCCACCGACGGCATTGCAGGCATGGGGAGTTTTGTTCGACATGCAGTCTACATGACATTTTCAGGTACAAACGGCAGACCTTGACCAAGCATCTGGAGTGCCCGCGTCGAAGTTCTTGCATACGCCCTTGACCAAGCAACACGGGACAAAATCATCAAAGTTGTCGCCGGTCAAATTCCCAAACTCCACCATCTCCTGGTCGTGCACGGAGTCACAGCGGTCATCATGACCTGTTGTTGAACAACCACCTACCGAAAGAAACTCTGAACAATCCCGACATTGAATAAGGAAAAATAGAACAACTATACTGTAGTCATGTGACCCTGGGGGGGTTCGGGCAAAGACCGCCCATCGATTCTTGATGGATTTTCCCATGTCCAGGGCACGTGGAAGTGGAGAACAGTCCAGGTGTCCTTTGTGTTGGATCCCCCATCCAATGCCATAATCAATGGTCAAGAATCACCTCCGCATGCTTATAGATGTCATGATCGCAACGTGCGGCCATTTGCTGGTGATGAGACATAATTAGTGACATAGTGACATAGGCCTACCAGGGGAGGTCAGCAATGGAAACAGCTGGCTGTATACTGATACACCTCTACTACCCGCCTACCCGCTTCCAATTTGCCGTTCTACTATGTTCTACTACCCATGGCTCAAACGCCCACACCCTCCGGACGGTCCTACCAGTACCCTCGGATATGCCAATGGACGTGTTGGATGTTGTTGTTCCCCTTCAAATGAGAACAACTCCTGTTTTTATGAAGCTTTGGGACGCTTATAGGGCCATTGTTCAAGAATCTGGTGCCCAGTTTATAGAACGCGGCAGTTCATCTGGGGCACTCGTTCATCTGTCCTCGTCCAATCGCACAGCCCCCACACGAAGCAGCCATAGTGCTTGGATGACTCGCATCATGGCCTTGGATGACCCACGGTGTCGGTGTCGTCGAGCCAAACCACCAACCGCCCCTGGTTTTAGTAGGGAAGAGTTGGGATCGAACGGGCCAGGTACGACAAAACGCATGTGTCAAGGAAACCATCCCATCATTTTGTGTGTTTACATGTGTTTTACGATGAATGAGTGTTTTGCACAGCTAAAAGGCACATACACAGCTGAAAGGCACATTGAACCACAGAGCAACCCTCCTTGGGTCGGGAATTCAGTGGGGCTTCACAAGCTTTGTTAGGTCCTCATGCCTACTCGACTAACACGCCACACTCAATTTAGATCCACTCCAATGGATTGCATTTCCACTATAACAACAGGTAACCAGTAGTTCCATTGACTAAAGGCCTTGAAGACTGCAATATAGTCCAAGAAGGAGTTCACTGGGAGTGCTATTTTCAACATCTATATACATGTACCACCAGACCTGGCTTGGTTTGTTTTGAGTCTAGTCTACACTCAATCACAAGAGAAACACTCAGACCTGGCTCTCCGGCGAGAAGGCTAAGCGGAAGAGTTGCCGTGATGACAGGCAGGTCGCCAGGTTCTCAAACACAACGTCAGAGTGATTTGATGCGTCGCAGCTGCAGCGATGGTCGGCATGTTCTTTGCTGTTTGGTCTTTAAGACAGGCAGAAAGCAACACACACACAACTGAAGGCGGATGAATTCAGGTCGCCCTGGTGCTGTTTCTGGGAACAAATCTCTGGGGATGGGTCTAATCTCCAAAGAAGGAGGCCAAGATAACCAACATTGACCAACAAAGAGTGTACAAACCACATCCAGTATGATCATATTAATTTGTGTTCCTTTCTCTCCCTCATGTTTGTGCCACTGCCACACGCCAATGCGCATCACACAACGCCGCAGGCGCTGAAACCATTTTTCTGCGGAGATGAAACCTGGGATGCCAAATTGAGCAGCACAAAGGAGCAGCTTTTGACTCAGGCAAAAGGTTCAAGATGGTTCAAGTGTTTCTGGGGTTGTAACCTCCCATCATGGAACTATAGGTGCCCATATATGATACACTTCTGCCCATGGGTCTGTGCTGGAGAACCCATGGGGGGGCGTGGTGGTTTCAGACATGAACATCGTTTGCCTCTTTCACTAGAAAAAACATCCGAGAAACGACCTGAGCTTTGCAGAGAGCTCAGGATCTCATCATCGGCTCTCTGCCGAAGAAGACGTGCCGTGAAAGGAAACTGTCCGGGATCGATTCGGGAGAAAGGTACGTACCTTCGTTTCGACGCGACCAGGATTGGAAAGCGACCACGGCCACGAATTCGTTGCTGACACCAAGGTAGTAAGCACACGTGGCTTTACTCGAAAGGATGTCCAAAGAAAAGAACCAAACACTCCCTGGAATCATCATGCAGAAGTGGATGGAATTGGAGTTCACCACTTGTTTTTACATGTTTTTACATGCTATTCAGGGGGTCATGATTCCAGGGAGTGTGCTCCACCCTAAACCGGGCTTCCTGATCACCAAAAAAGCTTCTTCGTTCAGCAGGATACTTGTTTCTGTCAGGGTGGCAAAGGGAAACGCCCAGCTTTTGACTGGTCGATACCATGCGGGTCTAAGGTTAGGGGAACTATCAATGATTTCTATCACCGTCCAAAGCGTCAGATCAGTGTTGTTTTCGCCAGGCGAAAGATGCCACCCGTCTCCTTACACACCTCAAGACATGTGGTGTGCTGCCTTTGAAATACGGTATTTCCTTTTGAACACCGTGACGGTCAGACACGTCTGAATCTGATCCATCCCTAACAAGTCCGTCATTCTGAAGCACCAGGCTTGGACTCTAGACGGAACCACATATACCTGGACCCTCCAAAGTACCTTAGAAAATGGGACTTGATCCCCCTCCAAAAAAATAGCTGCATACTTATAATAGAGTAAAGGCAGCAGGTATTCGCATCCATCTTCCGCGGTACGAACTGAGACTCCAGGTATATGCGAACCCCAGGGGCTGTGAAAGACAGATTACCCAGTCACTTGCTTCTCAAGTCCCAGTTACTTGCTGGGCTAAATACATATGATTAAACCATATGACAAGGCCTTTACTTAGTTCATCTTGGGAGTTTTTTTGGCCTTGCTCACATTGTGATTTCGTATCCGAAAGTCATGAACTTTGTTTTCATCTGAGAAGCGACTGTTTTCTGCTCGAGTAGGGACAAAGAATACCACTAGAAGCCATCAAAACCGAACAGAAACTGGACTGTTCTGATGAGTTCGCCAGACTCCAATTCCCGGCGCGGACCAACTCTGCCCAGTGACCGATGCAGCGCAGCTGGAGGGTCGGTTCCCTGCCAGCAAGATGGAGCTGGCTCACTGGCATGTAAGACCTCAAAGAGAGAGAACACATGCACAGACCTTTTTCTGACATGGATTACTTATAGTCTGTAACGACAACGACTCACGACCGATCTTTTCTCGCGACAACGGCTGATCAAAAACGCATGCCCTGTTAGTAACAAGTCCACTACTTTAATAACAAATAGCTACTATATAGCAGCTTCTTGCTACTAGTATACTATGCACTTGTAACTAGTAGCGATGCACTTGTTACGAGTGGATACAAAGCGTCTATGTAAAATATATTAAAAATTTGCCCTGCCCTATGATGCCCTAGGCCAACACTACCCTGCTAAAATCATCAATCATGAACAAGAAATCAAAAGACATGACATTGGTCCGCTGGATTCTGAATACCAGGGATCCCCCATTGCTGGACGACCAAAGAGGGGAAAACAAATGAGACAAACATTCGAAGTTGCATAGGTGTTTTGACCCTCCAAAGATTCAGGAACCCTAAAGATCCTACAGGTCGAGGACTTCATTTCACTGAAGACTGGACTGGTAGGAGAGTTTGAACCTCACTTACAGTAGGTGGCAAAGGCAGCTGCCGCCGAAAAGCAAAACAAACACACAAGACCTTCCCTGAACGGTTGAAAAATGCATCTTGAGCTGTGCTAGCTGCTAGCTGCTAGCCCCGTTGCACGACTTTGTCTCGTACCACCACTACTTGGTCATCCTGAGTTTGGATTATCATGGAAGATCTATGACATGAGAAAACCAGAAACATATCCTGGCAGAAAGCAACGGAGAACCTCAGAAGAAAGACCTATTTCTGAAGATTCGCCAAACACACTCCGCCTCATGTCAACAAAACATGGAAGTGGACAACCCGTGAAAACCCCCCTGTTTGTCACGAAAGCCGCCCTCCTTCGGGACCATTGTCCACCTCCTTGTTCGTGAGTCAGAGTGTATCTCAGTCGGTGGTTCAGCAACGGAATCTATCCCGGACCGTCGGCGAGCTGCAGTGCTGGACCGTCCGTGGCTGCGATCGCCTACGAGCGGCGATCAGGGTGGCTCTCAACGGACAAAGGCACGAAACAAAGTTGATGGTTGAACAAAGTGGACAAAAACAATATATCTGAGCATCTTCTCAACCTCTATACACTTACTGACTAACTATCACATGTCCCATCATGTCCCATCTAAAGCACTCTTACTGACTCTCCATCGTCGCGTCCGTCGACGAAGTTCGTCGTCGACGTCACCTGCATGGCGTCTTGGATCGCAGACTCGGCGTCGGCCGGGCAAAACCTCGGGCGCTCGGACGGTCGGACCGGTCTCGGGAAAGCAAAGCTCGGTCTCGGTGGTCTATAGGGAATGTGTGGCAGGGAAGGTGTTGAGCTTCACCCCCTGGCGTTTTTTCAAAGGTTGACCTTCTCCAAAGGTAATCATCATCGCCACACCTGCAGGCAGGTGTGCAGGCAGGATGGTACTAGTACCTCAATGTTAGTTCTGAGAATACGTATGACATCAAGTGCACAAAATACGTCTACCTCCACGATCTCAAGCGAGAGTTCCACACTTGACCCGAGCTGTTCCTCGGCTAAGCCTTGATCAGCTCCTGAACTGAAACAATGGAATCTGGAATCAGCTCAAAGATTCTATGGTTCGTAACTCTTCCGATGGAAGGCTGACTCTCCGTCCACCAGTTTGTACAAGCGAAAGGAGAACAATAACTCGTGCTTTCATCTGGTGGAAAGAATTCAGATCAAGATTTACCACGACCTCCAGGATGTTTCATTTTAGGCTGGTGACTAAGAGGCACTCACTGCTATGCACATCCTCCACTCACTAGGTATGATGCTGGGCCTTTCAGTCTAAAAGCCACCTTTGGAATTGCTGGGGTGAATTATTGAGGATACCATATAGTCAAATATGCACCTTTAGTCCATTCTTCCTCTTAATTACCCTGAGGAGTCAACCCTGATTATTTCAATATGCATCCATTTCTTTCCCTTTCAGCCCACAGAGATGTTCCATGCAGCCAGCTGGCTGGACTTGCAAAGCAGCCAGGGACCCCCCCGATGTCCTGCGCCTGCGCCGCCAGCGTGGGGAGTCCGACTTGAGGGATTGGCTCGGCTGTGTGGATGCCAGATGTCCAAGACTCCACAGGTTTCAGAAACTCTGGACCTTGATTTGCCCCAACCGGACAATTTAAGTGTGGAACTTGCGGAATTTTGCTTTTGGACATGATGCGACCTGTGAACCATCATACTAACAACAACATCATCATCAACTATGACTATCACTATCATCAACAACACATTTAACGACCATGAGGTTCCAACCGGAATCACTGAATCTCACTATCACTATCGTCAAGGGTCCTTCAACCGAGTCTCGACGTGAGACGTTCGACGAGGTTGAACGTCCCTCGTCTGAAACCGGTTGCTTTGCACGTCGGTTCTTCCGCGACGTTCGACGTGCTCCGCATGTCCCCAGTGCAGGACATCCGAAGGAAGCAGCGTCGATTCGGGCTGTCGGGAAGTGGAGCGTTTTGGAAGTACGTGGAGCCTTCCACGCGCTTGCGAAGAGATGATAAGCCTGGTTGGTCTCAACTCCTACCCACAGACGCAAGCATCTGGGGACAAGTGGACAAGGATGTCCAGTCACTACCTATTGGGATGATAGATCCGTTCTCTCCAAACGAACGGCCCCCACCCACGCTACTTGGCCCATGAAAGCTCCTTCGGTGGCTGTCCCAATTTGTCCTCACGCATGTCCTTTCCATAAACCACCCAGAGTCACACATGTCACCATAATCTTCGACAAACCTGAAAATCCAAAAACAAATCCGCTGTCCAGGAACCAGGAACAACATCTCTCAATTCCGGGGGACACCCATCAGGACAATTGACATCATTCCGCAAAACCTGTCCCAGGTCGACCGTTACCATCCCAGGTCGATCATCCCAGGTCGACCTCGCGCTCCAACATGCACCGCAGCTGCTGTGCCAGCGCAGGCAGTTGCGACGGTCTTTCGGCGGAGGCCTGGAGGCTGCGACTTTGGCGAAGAGCAGAGCTGAAGGAGCTGAACACAGGAGCTGAAGACCTGAAGGCGTGTCGTTTGTGTATATGTTTTTTTGGGGGGTTAAGTGGCAAAGTCATATGATTTGGGGGCTGTCAGGTATACGGACTTGCGAGGTCTTGTGGGCATTTGGATGTTGCGATGCTGTTCATGAGAGGCAACAAGTTCGCCGCAACTGAAGCGCAGGGTGTAGATGTGGAACGAACAAAACCGCGTGATGCGACCGATCCGCATGATGCGACTTCATCCGCATGATGTGACCAAATCATGGTGAGTGCTTCAAGGACATCCGGGATCTTCACACCTTCTCAAGTCTGGCGGCTGTACGGAGCCCTGCGAATTGAAGAAAGTGTCCTGACCTGATGATCTTCAGATTTGGGAGGCCCAAGGATCACTTAGAAAATAGTCAGCACATGTCAGCACACTTTGCAAGCGCAATTTATATTCCAGTGGCTTTGCGGTTCGCAACAGAAGTCACCGGAAGGGTAGCCGCTAAGCGGCTTGAGCTCCTCCTAAGATCATGCCACGAGTTTCTGACATCCAAGAAGGCCGAATACTTCATTGTTCATCCAAATTCACTTCCGCCCAAGATGTTCAAATGTTTCTTGGTGTGCACACATTTGGCGTGTCAAACGTTCTTTTGGATATGACCTTTGCATTACTATGTAGTAAGTTTTCCATAGTTTTCCGCGATGACGAGGTTCTGTTGATATTGTTCAAACACATGGACAAAAGCTGGACTCGCCTCTGCGATTCGTATTCCGAGCGAGTCGCTGCTGCACATCACGGTGATCTCCACCTTGGCAAAATTACCCGTGGAGGAAGAAAAAGAGTCCTTAACTCACCACTGAGCAGGGTAGCTTGTGGCGTCACCTTCTATTGTCGCTACTGGTTTATATTGCCACTACTTAACTGCTAGCAGAACGCTAGCAAACGAGAGTTCGCCGAACTTGCACGGCAGACGGGACTTGGGACTTGCTACCGAGGCGGGCGAGAACACTGGCCACACCTTTAGGTGCCATAGATTGGATTGTTCATTGATGTTTCATGGTTCATACTTCTATTCAGTAGAGTTCGTGGTACCCAGTGGCCACGGGTCACCACTCTGGTTCATACTTTTATTCAGTAGATGGCACTGACAGCACCACACGGCCCTTAGACCCACACCCGGGGAGGTGGTCTATATCTCGAGATGAGATACGATGCCAAGTAATACACAAAGACACGTGCACAAACGCCTTGTATCTCAGGTCAAACAAACAAACATGTACATGTTGCAGTATGTTGTCGTATTTTGCACACTCCATTGCACAAAGGGATTGGCGTACATGGTGGTTTATCCAGATCATGAAAGTGGAGATCACAACAAAAGAGATGCCCGAAAAACAACAAGGAAAGTTGGAGGAGGTCATTGCTATTGATGGAGGCCCTTGCTAGTAGGCCCACCACTAAGACTAGGTGACCTAGCTGTTATCTCACAGGCTTGGCTCTGGGCATGGGCAGGTGAAGGGCCGTGTTTTGTGTGCGAATCGATTTAACAGTCCAAGTACCCCACGTATTGTCCATATAGAATGGTTTGAATTTTTCTAGATTGAATTCACCTAGGAATCATATATTGTATAGCAAGCACAGCTCGTGTTTCTTCTTGTCACTTGTCCCACGTCGGTCTATGGTCCACAGCACATCACCTGCAGGATGAATGTGCAGCTGCTTGAAATGGCCTACACGTGGGGGGGTTACGCACAATGACTTCCTGCAAAAGAGGCAGGAACTCATGAGGGAACCGATTGAATGGCACTGGCAAAGCTGCCTTCCGAAACTGCTAAAGCTTGAGATCAATACTGTGAAAAGGGGATGAGAATCGCTTCGCATCATACTGAGGGTTCAAGTAAAAGTTGTAGATGGCACACTCCCTTGCTTTTTGCTTTTTGCTGGGAAGCTTATCACTCAACCTGATTGTCGGGCTCAGTCGCTCTGCAGCGCTGTGCACCTTTCCATGGCAAAAGCCATGCCCATTCTCAGCCTCCCCAGGCGCCCACGCGCAGCCGCCTTTGGGCAGTCGCGGAACTTCCGCGAAGCTGATGAGCCTGCCCGCATGGCGTTGTTTTTGCATTTTGTGAGGCCGCTCGGTCCTGGCACTACGCAACAAAAAAAATACACTCAGCGCGGCAGCAACGCTGCTCTTTCCAGGTGGGCTCCAGCATCCAGGTTTAGCAACAATGCTTGCACGGAACATTGGGCGTCCAGGATGGCACTGCAGCACAAAGTGTCTGTCTGTTGAAATGGATGGTACGATAAACATGCCCGATACACCTGTTTCAGTTGGTGAGAAAGGACCTACTATAGTCTAGGGTATAGTCTTCACTTTCCCAGTTCTTATCCTCTTGATTCAAAACCCGTCTCTGACTCTAGAATTCAACATCCAGTGACTGACATCTGAGTGAGCATCTGCGTGCCGCTTCCACAAACCCTGATATCAAAGTCACCTTGCTACCAAATGCTACCAACTTGAACAGCGGTCTCTGTTCTAAACCATGATCTGTGGTCTCGGTACCGAGCAAGGCAAACCCTTTTTTCACCGTCACTCATCCCAACACGTGCGCCCCCGCCGCGAAAATCGCAGCTCATCCTCCTGTCATCCTTCACTTTTTTGGGGGGTGCTTCGGGTCCAAGATGGACCCAACCAGCAATAGGACCACAGGGCTCGCTGACGAGCGGACTAAAAGATACACTCCGACAAACACATCAAATGGAGGTGGCAAATGGTCCCTTCAAAGACTACTTTCCTGACTACTAACCTTTACGAACAGGGCGTTTTCCACTTCCCTGTGAGTGAGTCAGAGGGCATACCATAAAACGTGTATAAAGTGTACTGTGGAGCTAGGGGAGTCCTTTGGCACCTGCTCATGTCCTTCACTTCCCAGGCGCTCCCGAGGCCAGAGTGAGCCACGTGTTAGGAAACAGATGAAGACGATGCCTTTCATGCGACCAACGATCTAAGTTCTTGGCTTCAACTTTCAAACCGGCTCGGCAATTCCAACGACCCCAGCGATCTGAACCCATCTTCGACCAACGGCGCAGCTCAGCTGCTCTCCCAAGCGAGCCGGTAGTGCGGCATCAGCTCTGGAGCAGTCTGTCGAAAGTAGGCCAACACTTCTTGGCAAATCCTGCAGTGCTCCCCCAGCAAACCCCCCAACTGCAACACAAGGGCACAACAAAAAACTGCACAAGTGGAGGCAGCTGGGCCATTCTGACTGAGTTTCCAAATGCATGGAATAGAACTATACATGTTGGCCTGCTCGAACATACACCGTATATATCAACACTGATGTGTTTCTTTGTGACAAACTGGACTCACTCCCATGTGCATCCAGGGAAAAGCATCATCTCGTTTCTAATCTGATGATTGGTGAGCAAATGTTAGCAGTATCATCATCATCATCATCGTCGTCATCCTCCTCCTCCTCCTCATCGTCATCATCATCATCAGCGCCAGCGCCATCGCCATCATCATCACCTTCTTCTTTGTGACAGTCTTCTTCTTAGTCTGAGTCTTAGTCTTCTTCTTGTGGCGCATCTGTGTTGTCATGATCTGTTCTATCGTTTTGGACCCTCGAGATCTGGGTCTCTGGCTCCAGGCCCACTCCAGCTGTCACATAGACCTCGTGGTCAAAAAGCAGGATGATTCTTCCACCGAGCCTCAACCAGCCTTCACGGTTTCAGCTAGGGTGGTTTCTAGGTTTCAATCCCACCTAGAAAAAGAAGAAGTGCCATTTAAGAATCGATCATCCCAGGAAAGTAAAGGTTGAACATCATACTATATATTGCTAAAAAGGAAAAACTTTTGGATACCATCAACCAGGGCTATTTGTTGAGGTTTAAGACCATCATGTTAAACTTCATAGGCTACCCTGGCTATGCTGGAGACCGATTGGGCCCTCCAAGCCCCACGGTGTCCGGCCAACATGTCTGGCCTCCGATGAGCCAAATGCGTGTAGGGACTGAGATAGAATCAGTGAGACTTATCTTATCTATGTGGCACACTATGTGGCTCCTTCTCAGGAAATTGGTATTATACGGTAACTATACATATCATTGTGTATCTATCTATGTTGCTCTCAGAGATTATCGGGATGTAGAGAGAACACTTCTTTGTGGTTGACCAGGTAATGTGACCGTAACCTGGATAGTGATTTTGCGATTGCTCGAAAGCTTCGACCAAAAGTTTCCTGGGATTTCCTGTGCCTCTCAACGACCGTCTGACTGCCTTGGAACATAGAACACAAATAAGGTTTAGCCTACCTGTTCTTGTTACGTGGAGGTGTCCGCCAAACCCCCCCTTGCTACGTGGGTTTCTGCAGCTTCTCCACGTACTTCGGTAGGCGCTCGCCTTGTCGCAACCTGGGATACAGCTACGCAAAAATCGCTCATCATTGCACTACTGGCAAACCCAATCCACACCCCAGCACCTGTCTGGAACCCCAGCACCGGCCTGGGCCAAAGAAACTTCCTGGAAGCCACTGCCCATGACCTGCCATTCGCAATGTCGAGGTCAAAAGAGACCATCATCCAAACAGGCAAATCCCAGACAGGCATGTAGTGAATTCACTCGTGAACACACACACGATATATATATATATATATGTATATCATCCAAACACTGTTTTTGGTCTTTCATGGTCTTTCTTACCATCCTAGTCTCCTAGTTGTCTAGATGTCTCTTAAAGACAAAACCCATCTCTCTGAGGTTCGGGAACTGGCGATGTTAACTAGGTGGGTGTCAAAGGGTTCCAACAACCTTCAAAACGATGCTCTTGGATCCATAAGGACTCAGGACTCTAAAACCAGCGTCCTTCCATTCAGTTGCGTGCTATCCATGGTGCCCTGAACATCACACCAACTTACTTATATACAGGGTCTACACACACACACTGCACTCCATGGAATTTCTGGATGTATCTCTCAAGTCACTAGAAAAGCTGGCACTGTGCCACATGCGTCCCATTACGTCACTAGAAAATGTGAAAATGAAGATCCTCACATCTACGGTCATCTGTCCTCGCATCGAAGGAGGATGGCAGGTGGATGGCTGGATCTAGGTGCCAAGAGAAAAAAAAGCCGGCGCACACCGAGCTGCATGTCCACCGCAGGTCACTGCTGAGCTACTGAGTTCATCCATTTCATGCCGTCTTGGCCAACGTTGTCAGGCACCAACGGAGTTAGACGGTCTTTCGATGCTACATGTCCTTCATCTGCATAAAGGCCTCCAAAAAGAGGGGCCAGTCAGGGGTTAGCTGGAACAATTTGCTTGGACAACTCTAATCAAATTCATCTGAATCCAATCCGTTCGCGATTCAGATTCAAATTTGCACATCTCGGTTGCAAGGCATGCCAAGACTCCAAGACATGGGGGCCACAAATGGTTTCATGATGGCTACATAGCAAATTGAGCTACGTTAATAAAGCATCTTGTGGCACATTCATATAACATCACAACGTTAGAACATGTTAATATGTTATATCATGTTATATATATATATATAACATGTTATAACCAATGTGAATCGCCTGCAACTCGTCCCCAATCCTTAGTGGATCAGGTCAAGTTCCTGTGGACCCCTCCCGTCCTCACCACCCGTCCCACATCAGCGGTCTCCCAAAACGTACCGCCTGCAGTACTGCCAACAGGGACCGCATCAGGAGCCAAAGCTCCGCCTGTTCAGCCAGGTGGAACCGGGTGGTGCACAGCTTCATAAGGAAGGCAACACCAGCCCTTTTGGATGTATCCGAGCAAAGAGATATGTTTCGGTCCGTTGTAGTGTTTCACGCCCTTGTCTTCGGGTTTGGTGTTCTCCTCTGAACAGAACCTTGCAGGCTCGCATGTCCATGTACTGTATCGTCACAGGTGTGACGTTGCTGGTTTGCCGGTTTGCCGCCCAAATCGCCCACAACGCCCGAATCGCCCCACCTGAGCTTGTGTGAGGTCTTCCACCTGTACGAAGGAAGACCAACGGATTGCATGCTCTCCCTCAGGCAGGTGCATGGACGTGCAGGCATTCAAGTGGGCAATGAGGAGGTGCAGTTCACTGACTCAAAGTTCTTTCAGTGATTCCAGGGTCTGCAGTCTATAGGTGACTTCACCGTGGTAAGAACATGCTAACGTGCAAAAGCAATGATGCATGTGAAATCCGACTTTGAACACATCTCCAATATTGGAATCAAACCCTCAAACCCTTCGTCCGATCTATCTAACATCTATTGCAACCCTTGATTTACCAATAACATCAGCAACATGCGTCCCTCAAGCAATTTCACCCAGCCCTTTCGACCGCCGATGACGCGGTATGTATGCGCCGCCGGTCTGGGCCTTTGGTAGCGCCATGGAGTGAGGCCTTCGTTCAGAAGCGATGAGCGCGTGGACACACTCTCTGCATGAATTCCGACCATGCAACTCATGCGATTGAAAGCAACTCATCATAATTCGACTGTTCATGAATCAAACTCCACCTTTTTTGGAATGGTTTGACATCTCCATGCATGGGGGATTTCATGAACCAATACCCAAGCCATAGCCATTGAAAAATGCACCAGTCTGCAGAACAATCACAAACAGCCCATCGACAAGTCCCAGACGACTGAAGCAACTGCTTCCTAGTGAACCGAACATAATGAGTAGATGTGTGTACCACATAGGTTTGGGGCTCGACTCATGCCCATATCAAGCAACAAGTCAGCTGAGAAATGCTGAGAACTGCGCACAGGCCCGGATTGGAAACGTTGTTTCACCTGGTTTCACCATTTGGTCATGGTTACGATGTCGCTACAGCTTCCAAACAGACCCCAACATATAGATCAGTCACATATAGATATGGATGTGATGATCGGAAGCACACGTGGTCCATGCGGCAAGACATATGATGGCAGGCATATCAAGGATCGGTCCATCCGCAATGCTTTTGCTTCCGCAAGGACCCAGGATTCCTCCATCACGTCCAAGGATCGACTTATATATACCCCTAGGGCTCCTGGCCTACGTCCGGTTCGAAGGTGGTTGGGATGGGTGCCAGGGGGGGTCGAATACCACCTGAGGAGATGGTGAAGTCGCCCTAGGTTACTACATGGTACTACAGTATATTCTTCTTCCCACGTTCCGATCCGCTCGATTGCTCCACAGGTCTCGTGCTCTTGGCACCGATGATGAAGCACCGGTGAGATGAAGGCTCCGTCACGGACTCCGGGCTTTTGAAGCTCAAGGCAATTCTGGCTCACCCCCGAAGCGACCCACAGCACGAGTTTTTGGACCCACGGGTGCTCAACCATGTTCATCTCAGCTCACAGGGCCACCGGGCACGAGTCCTAAGACCCCACTGCTGCACATCAGATCCGGCGCCAGGCGTTGCGCCTGCGTCCGCGGACCGCGGCGTACGCGGCACGCGGCAGAGCCGCGGAGGTGTGGGGTGGGTCTGGAGAGAGCCACTTTTCAGGGAGAGCATGGTATGAGTTAGTATTATCCAATAGTGATAGTGGGTGGTGGGGGGGGGAGCTCATCCTGCCATGCTAGGGGCTGTTCAATGAAGCTGCGGATTGTGGGAGCAACGGTGGTAATGCAATGCTTGTATTGTGTGGGACCAAAAGAAGTCATACCCCACAGCAGAGGAGATCACAACATATCACAATCTTGCGTTTGGGGGTCGCCTCTTGAATGTAACCCTATGGCACTATGGAGCATGACTTTCATGAAGAAGCTTGGGGTGCAATGGATAGCAAATCGACCACACTGGGAGGTCAACCACGGTCTTGGGAGGTAAACCCCGACTGAGAGCCGGATTGATGTTCTATGACATCCCTGTAACACACGGCTCCTTGTGCTGTCACCCTTACAAAACCCAAACAACTGTATACCAAGGACAAACATGGTCAAAACAAACACACCGGTCACCAAACAGCTAATGGTCTTCCGGTCTGCGGACCATCCGGTGACCTTAGCGGACCACCACGCCCATCTCCGCTCTGAAAAGCGGCAGCACTGAGCTGGTCAGAGGAGAGAGAGAGTGAAGCAAGACTGTCTTGTTATCAATTTTGTCTAATTGATGTCGATCTAATCTTTAGCTATATATATAAAGACTCGTCAGCCTTCTTTTCTAGTTCGCTCTGCAGCAGGTTTGTCAAAATGATAGTAAACAATCAGGGAAAAACAACAGGAAAACACAGACCGAGATGGTTACCCCCCCCCCCTTCTTTGGTCCACTACACAAAGAAGGGGACGTACCCGGGTAACCCTCCCCCCCAACCAGGCGGGCCTGACCCCAGTCCCTGGCCAGGTCCTGGGGAGTTTAAAGTCAACCTTTTTTCCGGCTCTTCATGAGCTTCTGGAAGGTCTCTTAAGGGTTTTCTTACCCTTCTTTCCACGTCCCCCGAGCCGCCGAGTACCGGCGGACGGCCTGCTGCTTTGCAGCGGCTCAAGTGTTTTGAAAGATTTGGGGGTGGAATTCGCAAAGAAAGTACGGTACGGTGTCACAAAATGCTGAAAAGGACCTAATTGCATCTCTGTCAAGACTGCCCGGGATTCGTTGAGGTAAAGACGGGCAGTCTTTTGGGCTTGCCAGCGTCCTAGAAGCATTACGCGATCTAGGTTTCCATGCTGGCAAAACCACCATGTAGCCCCTCCCCTTCGGAGAGAGTATGGTCTGAGGTCAAGGGGTTCCAGGTGCAGGGCTTCTATGCATGTCTTGAAAAGTTTGCGCCAGCGTGCAGCTGGCGGGCACAGTCGTTGGTGAGTACTAGCAAGTGTCATCCAGCGTTGCAGGTAACGGAAGGCTGTGTCATGGCCCACTGTGACGCTCTCTTGGGCGCCGGCCCTCTTGCCGGCCTTCGTCATGCCTAAACTGACGACAGCCACTCGGAGGCTTTCAGAGACATCGACGCGACTCTTGGTAACATCCAGCAATTCACCTGTGCGAAGAGTACCATAAAAACAAAATAAAAGGCTGGTTGCAAAAGAAAAATGTTGATGGTACAAGCTCCATCCCACCATAGCGAGGAGGATGCTCTCAGGCATTGGTGGTGCCCTGTTGGGCAATTCATGCGTGACCCATGTCTTTACAAGGCGCCAGGCTCCAGGGAGTTGCCCCCGAATTTTTGCGTCAAAGTCCTGCAATGACGCCAGGGTATCGGCGGCCAGTCCACGCCCCTCCCCGGTGCGCCAGAGGTGTTCTATGTATTCCATCACCAGAGGGTCTAAAAAACTGCGGCGAGTGGGCAACTCCAGTCCCTCCTCTTTGAGAAAGGCCAGAAAACGATTCAAAGCACGGTCATATCTCACACGGGTGGCTGGTTGGACCGTAAGGCCCCTTAGTGTACCTAACCTTTGCCTTTCTTTCGCTCTACTGGCTTGAGTGGTTCCTTCAAGTACGACCTTTGGCACGCTTAAACTTAGTCTTCACTGACCACCGCGACGGCTTATCCGCCGGGTTCAGGTCAGTATGCACGTAGCCCCAAAGGGCTCCAAGGTTGTGCGCCAATAGAAGCGAGTTGATTCGGCAAAGGGTTCTTCTCAAACGGCGAGATGATGTCCTTCCACGGGTGAGGCTGTGAAGACACACAAGAGAATCTGTGAGGTGAAGGATACGGCAACCATGTTCCTTCAAGTGTTCACATCTCCACCGGAGGCATGCTAAAATGGCCCTGAGCTCCAGTGAATTTATATGCTCACCTGGTGTTCGCCACCTCCAGCCTGATACAACCTTCCAACGCCACATCTTTGCATTTACCGTATGCCGAAGTCGTTGATAGCTTTGAATCTCGTCTTGCGCCGCTGTAATCATAAGATCGGACCCTTTTGTGGACACCAGGCGTCCTAACTGTTGTACCAGGGCCTCTTGGGGTCCCGAGCTTGCACGCTGGTCAGTCTGCAGGGGTGGCCGCATCAGTCGCGATTGAATGTAGGGATTACCCTCCAAAGTAAGGCGAGAGACAACTTCTGCTGGAGATAGCAGGGGTCCTGCCCCCCCGAGGTCCGACCAGCTGCCCGATGAGCCAGCTTACCACTGGCACGGCCCAGGCATTTCCAACCAACGTAAGCCGCTTGTCAATGCAATCAGCGTGCTTCCGCATGGACTTGGGCATGCACATCAGCGTGTAACCCACTGGTAGTCCCATCATGTACTCCCTTTCGCGAATATTCGGAAGTCTGTATTCACCGCGTTTGTTTACCACACAGTTGCGGGGAATATATTGATACGGTGGGAACCTGTGGAGGTCCTCTTCCCATCGAGCGATGGTACTTTTGTCGCACGCGTCCAAGCCTGCAGGGCGATGTCCCCGCGTTGTGCGTGGCCTCGATGTGGTGAATGTAGGGAAAGGCCTGTCTTCGTCAACTTTGGTCCAGCCAGCTTCGACTGATGTTGACCAGGGCTGATGCCCCGTAAGTGTCACGCGCCTGTCGGAGATGTGAACGTCGTCCCCCTGTCGGTTGAGCTCCCAGCTTATCCAATATAGCCGTGGTCGGCTGCACCAGCAAAGCGTGCCAGCGTCAATCTCCCAGGGTCGATCCCCGAACGATTCCGACATGATTTCCTTGTCACGATCATCCATGGATGCCACACTCTCCATCAAACAGTGGACTTGCCCCCACGGGAAACAACGTTGTACCAACTCACGTAAGCGCCTGACGTGAACGAACAATGACGACCGCTCATCACGCAACGCCCCTTTGCGCTGGCTATTGAGTCCTGAGACTCCTTGACACGGTGGTCCTGCACCGATCAGGATCAACGAGGCTTGCCCATAGCGCAGTGCCCAACGCTGCACATCGTCCTCCGATATCTCCTCAACGTCACCGTAGTGCCAGCTATCCGGGAAGTGGTGTTCTACCACCCTCCTGGCTGCAGCGTCTTTCTCAACACAGATGTGGCCAATCACGTCACATCCCAGCAGATCCAAGGCGACCCTGAGGCATCCGATCCCATCGAAAAGCCCGACGCTCAAGATCCGTGGCCCGCTGCAAGCTACCATCTCCCGGCGTTCCTCACCCAGGGCCACCTTCTCCCCGTAGTTGGTGAGGCTAGTGGCCACGCAGACACCCCCTCCATGTTGGGAGGCATCGCTGCATGTCACCTTTGGGTTCATCCTCAGGCGGAAGTCCATACGGCACAGTGGAACTAAACACAAGAAACGAGTGATCTCCAGTTTGACACCATTGGGTATAAGCTGCCTATGACGCCCACAGGAGTTGAACGATTCAATGAACGCCCAGCAGAGGTTCAGCCCTCCGAGAAGTTGTCGCCTAAAGGTGGAGAAATACACCAGTCCTCCGCACACTACCTGCATTTGCCTTTGAGAGCAGTGAGTTTCGTTCATCAGCTGGAAGGCAATGGTCACATACTTGGATAGCTTCTGCCCTTTAGGGTACGCGATGCCCCGTTCCCCGTCAACAACTGCTCCTTGAACTTCTGCGATAGTCTGCCGGCTCACTGCTTTGCCGGGATGGCGGGGTAGGCCCCAAGCCTGGTATTCCTGCCTTAGGGCCAATACCTCTGGCGCGTCCTCCTCGGCTATGCCTCCTAGCACCTCATGGGGATACTTCTCCAACAAATCATAGTTGTCGAGATAAACCCGCCAAACTGTCGCCCCGTCCGGTAGAATCCTGTCCTTGCGTATCTCCTGTGAAACAGTATCCCGCACCGGGTTGTGAACCTGTGAGCACATAGCCAAGACTCGGTGAACGTGCTGTGCTATACCAACGCTGTTCAGGAAACCCATAGGCAATACCTTTGAGCAGGGATAACAGGGTTGCCCCCGAAGTTCCGGGGGGACCAGCTCCGGTGGAAGTCGTTTGTTGAAACATAAGTAGGGATACCAGCAACTAGGTAGTCGCAGGGTGTAAAAGAAACACCGCAAATCCTCACTTGATACCACCACGGACTCATGCGGCGCGATGTGGAAAGGGGTCATTCCAAACCAATGAGGCAGGGTCGTGATGTCCCCGTGCAGCCCTTGACACAAGCCATTGAGTGGCACCAGATTCATAATTAGGCGGTAAACCGGGATGCCCTCCACTTCTTCGTGTTTCTCCACTCCAAAAAGTCCGTTAAGTAATGGTCTCCCATGCACTCTAAAGACCTCTGACTCAGGGACCACCCCGAATATACCGCTGTCCAGCAGTCCAGTGGCTACCTCTGTCCAGTCCTTGTCTGCTACCATAACCCTTGCCTTTCGCACCTGCTCCCACTCATGAGGTGGTTTAAGGAAGTGTGGGAAGTTTTCAATGTAATGCTTGCAGCCCTGCTCACAAATATCCTTCAACTCAACCACGCCAATCTCACGTGGTATGGCGGGTTTGATGTTCTTCCATGTGAATTGCTGTGCCGTCTTGACCTCGTCACCCTTATAGTCAATGCTCCTAGTTCTAAAAAACGAGCTCCATTCGAAATTCTCCGTTACCTCGTCAATCCCTCCCAGCCGAGTCACGTCTCGAGCGATCGACCGGAGGACGCGGGTGTGCACCTCCGACACCGTCCGCTGCTCCAAACTGGATTGGCCATCCTGCAGTGAAATAGCCGGACAACCCCAAAGTGAATTCAGTCCCATGCAAATAGCTTGCACCCAGGTGATAACCCAAGGTTCAGAGGCGTCGAGGGCGAGGGCGATCTGGGTTCGAAAGGTGGGCAATGGGAAAGTGTCTCTAGCCCCCAAAGTTTCAGGCCCCTTTCCCTTTGCCGTGGTCTGGCTGCAGAGCGATGACACCCTTCGAAACTCTCCGACCAGATCCTCCCCCATCTCCCAAAGCCTCTTGCCACACAGTCCTTTTGCCGCCTCTCGGCGTCGATCAGGGCTTTGCCCCGAGCTGTTTGCACCACTTGATAGGCCATGATCGGCTGTTCCACGCTGATCGCCTGATTGTGGCACGTCCGGAGAAATGTAAGGCGGCAGGGGAGGGAATGGTTCATCCTCCACTTCTGCCTCCGCAGGGCCCGAACCCCGCGCCGTGGTGCACCGTGCTGAAGCCAACGCTCCATGTAGGTCCATTGTCAGCCTCTTCAACCGGGCGCCAATGACCTCACCGTTCAAGTCACTGCCTTGGTCAGGGTCCCGCCCCCGATCACCCAGGGTCGCCTCTGTGCCTTCTGTAGTGCGTCCCTGAGGGTCCAGGGCTGTCCCCCGCTGAATATCTGTCATACCACCACCAGGGCACGCCCGCCCCGCATTGATATTGCTAATAGTGCTGTTGCTCCTCTGACCCAAGCCTCTCTCTACTCCTTCTTGGGTTTCGCCTTCCCTTTCTTTCCTTTTCCTTTTGCGCCATCGTCCTTTTCTGCTTTGCCTCCTTTTCCTTTGCCCCAATCCTTCCAAGTCCCTGCCTGGTGTGCCTTCACTTCGGCGCGGTGCTCCGCAGTCGCGATCGAAAGCTCCTGCCTCGACGAAAGGCTTGCCCCGTCTGGGGGCAAAAGTTCCATCCGCTGGGCGGACGTCCACGCGAGGCCGGAGGCCTGCGCCTCTAGCGACTTCAGCCTCTGAATCAGAGTGTCCATTGCAGCGGGCACCATGCCCTTCAATAATTGATCTCCTATTGTTGATAACGTCAAAACTTCCCTGGACATCGGGCCTGACATCTTGCGGAATAAAGTTTGTCTGAAGTATCTGAGTAAAGTGGGGCTCCAGGGGCCCCCCCCGCTGATGATCGAGCCCCACTTCCTGTACCAGGAGTTGCTGCATCTGCTCGATTGCTTGCGATGTCAAAACCCCAGGAAACTGTAGAGCAATCCCTCGGATTTTCTGGGATTCGCCGAAAATCTGATCCCCTTTCAGGGCCAGGTCTCCCCCGTCCTCCGAGGACGCCGATTTGCTCTCGTCCTTCCGATGGTGGGATCGTCGGGCCATGCGCTGAGCTCGGCGTCGTTGCTTCCTCCTGGTGCGGACATGAGGGTCCATGCCCGACCCTCGAAACAACACCTCCTGGGAGATCTCCTTGAATTCCACGGTCGATGAACTGCTCGTTGAACTGGATGAGCTGCCAGGGTCCTTCCCCGTTTCCTTTTTTCTTTTCTTTGACCTCCCTCTCTTGGATTCTCCGCTCTTTGACCTTGCGGATCGACTTCTCTTGCGCTTCTTCTTTTTCTTTTTCTTTTCTTTCTTTTTCTCTTTGTCCTCTTTCTCCTTGGCCTCCTTCTCGTCGATCACTGCTGCCGCGGCTGCTGCCCCAGGGCTTGGTACCCCGACTGCCTCCATTCTGCTCCTCAAACCTGCCAGCTCGTCCTCGGCCTTGGGTCGTCCTTCCAGCAGCACGTCTCGCCAAGGGACTTCGGCTAGTTCGTCTAACGACCTGATCCTGCGGAGGTCGCTGCAGTGAATAAGGCCTGGGCCTTCGGCTTCTCTCGAGCACCCTTCTGGGCACAGATGAACCCGGGCGGAGGTCATGGCCCCTGTAGCCCACGTCAAAAGGGGTTCGTGATCTGTTCCGTGAAGTCTGACGCTCAAGTGGCGTCCTGCTGCGTCCCTCGTATCCTCCAGGACGCGTCCGGTGAAGCGACACTGGGCGCCGTAGTAGTGAGCTTCCTCTGCAACCACTAGATCGCCCACGCTCGCGTCCCAAGGCAGGGCTTCCTCGCCCCGAGCTCCAACTTCCTCTCGAAGAGCGGCAGGTCGTCGTACACCTCGTCTCAAACGATCTGGCGCATCGGCTCTTGCGGGCCTCCTCATCTTCGGTGCCATTTGCCCTTACCTTTTCCTTTGGGCGGTCGCCCTTTGTTGCTGTATCCCAGGGTCTGCCCCCGTATGATGTGCTTGACACCCTTCCACTTCTTTGCAGGCGCTTGCTGCTGTCCACGATATCCCGGTGGTGACCTCGATGGAGTGCGCGGCCTTCTGGGTAATGGCTTCCTGGCTGATGGCTTAGGGGGGGACCTTCCTGAGTCCCGCCCCCTCCGGATCTCTGGCAACTTCGGTGTCCGGACTGACGACGTCGTCGTGTTGATCGTCCTCGAACTCCTCCGCTTCCTCTGCTTCTTCGGCTTCTGCCTCTTCTACTTCTTCCTCAGGCTCTGTCCCAACTTCCTCCGCGGGAGGAGGGCTAGGCTCCTTTTTCGGCTTCTTTCGATCCCTTCTGCGGCTTCTGCTGCGAGACCTCGGCTTGTCCTCACGCCTTCTCCTCCTGTGCCTTGAAGACGATCCTGGGGTGACTGCCTCCTCTGACTCTTTGCTTTCCTTCTTTACGACGGCCGAGCCGGCCTCAGGGTGTGAACCACCAGGGTGAACCCCCGCAGCCAGGGATGCAGCAACCTTGCCCTTGCTGCCCTTGTCCCCGCTCAACAGGTACCCGTCCTGATCGACCACTCCGGCGGTCTTGTCAGCCTCGAAGGCTTCCGAGTCAGTCTCCAATGTATTGAGGACCTTGGCCAGGAAGTGTGTTAGTTCTTCAGCTTTAGCCGCTGGATACCTTGTGACCACGACGCGATCGATGCGGGTGGCCAAATAGCACGCGTTGCAGCGTCCGGAAGTACCAACCGCGAGTCGGAGGCGGTTGTTGCAGCCTTTGCAGGCCATCAAAAGGCTGTCCAGAGCCAAACACTACGGAACCGTCAAAGATGGTGACTAGTCTTTATCCCCGGGGGGCGGGGCACCATATAATCTGATCTGATATATGTATCACCTCTCTTTCCAAATTTTGAGGCCAGGAATTCCTTCTCCTGGCACTCTTCTATATCCACCAAATCCCACCATCTCCCCCACGAAACCACATGATGTTTTTTCGGTTGTTATACTTTTTCCGATCGCGATCGCTCGGCGCCTGGGAGTAGGGCCCAATGCAGGCCATGGCCCAGGTGGAAATCGATTGCACCCGCAGCGCGTCCCGCGCAGACGCGCCTGTCAAAGGGCCAAAAAGGCCAGAGGTCTTGAGGGGATTCGCACATGGAAAGGCCGGAAAGCCAGGAGCTTCGGGAAGCATGTTTTCTTAAACATCGATGGTCAATATTTCATGTTGAGACAATGACAAGCTCTGTCTTTTCATTGTAAGGTGGCTCACTTGCAAGAAGCGTAGAGTCTGCTTTCCTGGCCAGTTTGGACGAAAAGCAGGTGGAGATATTGTGAGATATCGGGATGGAGGAATGACCAAAGGTAATGCCAAAGGTACACTCCTTGGAGTCATCATGGAAGCGGACAATGGCCGCTGGGAAAAACACGTTTCCTCTTCAAATGAGTGGTTTTCCACTTACGCGATGATTCCAGGGAGTGTATATACCTCTACAACCCAAAGAATCCTCACCACTTTCGACACGCCTTGGCTCGCCACCCCGTACCCCACGGCCATGGTTTTGGGCCTTCATGTGGCCTCAACAGAAGTCGAAGCCTCACTTGAACACCTGCACGTGTTCGCCGGAAACTGGGGGAGCTGTGAAACACTGCGAGGCAATGTGCTGTTGCAAAACAGGAAGTGGGCAGGCCAAAGCATGACCCGTAGCTTCTGTGCCCCAAGAAAGCAACTGGCTCTAGGTGAATTATGGTCAATGTTGGGCTAGTCTTCTTGCAAATCCTCTAGCCGCTGATGGCTTTGAGGGGAGGCTGGAGTCACGCATAAGTAAATTCCTAGCAGAGCGAGAACATGCTGCATGTATCCCAGAAGCAAATCAATTTAAATACGGTATTATATTGAATTATTATAGTAACCAATGCATGTCTTAACAAGGGTTCGTGAGTGGGCAAGGTACAACCATGGACAAAACATGAAACATTTGTCACACATTCAACGCAAAAAAGAAAGTCTACCTCAAACTCACATGTCTCAACCACCAGGGAGGAACAATCACAGTCCAAAACTCACGGTTTGCCATCTTCATCTCATATGTTTCTTCCTGCCAACCATCCAAAGCAAGCCCTGCCTGGAGGCAGTGGCGTTTCGATGCACACGCGTGCAGGCGGATTCTCAACGAAGTGCCTGGTGGCACCCAAAAAAGTCAGAAAAAAACTCCAAGCAAAAGACTTCCGCACTCCAAAAATCAAATGAGAAGGGGTGTCAAACCATGTGTTCATGCCAAACTCTCTGTCTGCGGGCGTTTCGGGAGAAAAAACACTCCCGCGCGCGCGGTGGGGGGTCTCCCGCAGGCGTCGTTGGCACGGCGGGGCCGGCGCACTTGGCGTAAGCTGCGTTGACCTCCTCGAAGCAGCTGAGATCCCGGACCTGCGCGGAGCGCGTGGAGCGGAAGGCGGCCAACCGTGTCGTGGGAACGTGGTTCGGTCACGAACGTGGTGACTTTCAGGCCTTCAAAGAGTGACATGGTGGTTGGAAGCAAAACAAAAAAACAGCAATTTGCCATGTATTTGCCGTGATTTGGAGTCCACGTCGGAGTTCAGATGGTGCCAGCATGTGCCAGCTCTATCTGCTTTCGGCGCTGTGGATTGATTGGGCTGCTGCCGGTGGGTTCGTTTTTCAAGGCTTGGGTCGCATAGGCATTACGCCACTGCCTACCTGGAGCTCTGCACTGCGGATGAACTACGCGGGGAGGGTGGTTTCGATGTGTCTGGCATCCTGAAAAGCAGGCACACTAACACGCAAATTCCACCAGTTGAAGCATGGATTCCTCACAAATATGAGGGGAGTCTGGGTTCCTCTGATTCATTCCAGCACCCCCAGGCCACAGCTTTCTGCATCCAGGCTGCAGCTGACGATGGATCATGATCACACTATCCCCATATATCAAACAACAAACCTTAAGTACCCACTGGACCGTTTTCCATCAAGCCTTGGGAGGGGCCGTTCAACCCACGAGTCGTACTTCTTCCATGCCCGCCACCGGCCGTCTTATCCTCGAAGCCCACCAACCCTTCAGGCATCCGCGCGGCCCTGCCTGAACTTCCGCGAAGGCCACGTCCTTGAGGTGACGCGACTTCAAGGCCAACCACTCAGCAATGGCCATCAGCAAAGCATCACACCTGACTGCAAAGGATCGGTTCTGCAGATCACGGTCACCAACAAACAGGGTTCTCTTGGGAGTGCAGTGGGAGTGCAAATACTCTTTGGTTGAGCCATCTGGGCAGAAGTGAGGCTGGGTCAACTATGATTTGCATGCATTTTGATATTGATTGGGATGCACATAGACTGAAACCAAAAACAACTTGTCCATTCTGTAATGAGATTCCTGATGGAAATTCCCCCAGTCTCTGCACCATGCGAATTTCTCAGCTCCCAACTCTGCTGCTGCAGACTCCCAACTTGATCCTGAGACAACGGTGGAAGCAAGGAGATTCAGACTGGTGGCAGTGGTTGTGATTGTAGAGTATGGATCTTTAATGTAATCTCCAAATCAAATGCAAGTCAAACATCGCAAAGCAAGTGTGAATGTATTGATTCTATTTATAAATAGCCTTACAGTAACTTCATCTAGATCATGAAGCAGTACCTTGATCTGTTAAGCCCAGGCAGCGACAGCCAAAGAGATGTTTCAGAGATCTCCGGGAGTTTCCCATGGTCCTCGCTATCTCTTGCAAATTCTTGAGTTTCGTGCCCCAAAACTCCTCTGTTGGCCGGGTCCAACATGTTCCAATGTGACCATTATAAATTATAACCACCAAGCAGTGGGCCGTGACGAGGTCGTCATTCCCGGTCACAGTTCCTGTGACGACCGGCTGAACATGACCAACATGACCAGTTCCTGTGTTAAACCAGGTGGTTGCTAGGCTAGTAACTAGCTACTCAGCGAGTTGAGTTGAATAGGAACCAGGTGGTGAATTGGCAGGACTGGTTCCTATATTACAAACATATTAAATGATATTACAATATATAGCAACTAATATAGCAATATAAGAATAAATACCTCGTAGATCATCACATTGAATATCTAACTTATATTTGTTCCTGGACTTGCTAAACACGTCCATGGAGCTGTACTTTCTGATGACTTAATGACTTCCATGGAGGTCGCATTTTTTACCCTCCCACCATACCTCTGCCGGATCGCTCCCCCAGAACCCGGCGTTTCATCCCAGTGGCCCAGCTGCATGGCGCGCACATCGAGGCTGGACGTCGCCCAAAGCGCCCCTGGCGCAGAGGACGCGGCCGCTCCCGACCTGCGATGAGACGGGTCCCTGCGATGAGACGGGTCGATCCTCCTCCCCAAACATGGCATCCTCGATCGCTGGTGAAGGAGCATGCAGCTTGTGGACTAGGACATGCGTCCGAACGCCCTTCGTGCGAAGTCAATTCTCACATATCAAGTCTCTAAGTGCTCAACTTTTCAGTACATCGCTTACGCAGCTGGGTGATCCAAGATATTCCAAACATTAAAAGGAAGGTAACGGAATTAACCAAACAAATCACTCCACCAACTAAGCTGTATTCTGTCAATCCTTACTATGTCTGGATTCTGTCTTTCCACCCAACAAACCATACAAGGAAACTGTGCACTTCACCCTGACAGATTGTACATCAACTGAAATTTTTATCCAAACATCTCAAAGCATCACTCACCTGCCTCCAGAAGCTCTGGTAGCAAAAAACACATTGCAAAGAACGGTTCTTTACTGGATGCTGGTGAACTTGTCATTTGGGCAAGGTCGCTTTACCAGAAACATATTAAATTGTTCAATTACAGAAACCACTAGCCAAGTTGCTAACACGAAAACATAGCCACAATTCACGCAATCTCTCTCTCTCTCTCACTTTCCATCCATGTGGTGCCATGTTGGTGATTCTGATTTAAGTGATGTCCAGTGATTTTGGACGGGAAGGACAAATCTATCAGCTGGCCGGGAACCAACTGCGCACGAATTGGGCAGCATATCTTTTGGAGTGTGTCATTGCAAATGTTCTAGCATGCAGGTCTTTCTCTCTCTCTCTCTCGCAACTTGAAAGGATGGGCTTGAGCATTCAGCATCCTCCAAAGCTCATCTGCTGTTGCATCCGCTGCTTCCGGGATCACCTGGTCCAAATAGGTGCGTTTCTCTTGATGGAGCTGCTGTTTGAGAATCCCTGCTTCTCCCACTGTTTGGCCCAAACAAACAATATGAACATTCTCTGCGCCCTTGGCAACAATGTTCCGAACTTCCCCGGAGATATGCTCTTCAAGCCCGCGAGCGGCGGCTGACTCCTTCATAAAAAGTGCGAAAGCAGCCTCACATCGCACACCAAGGGGAAGAGTATATCCAAAGCAACTGCATGGACTCGAATGTTGTTACAGTCGTAGTCGAACCTGCCTCAGCATATCTCGCCACGTGTTTGCCAGGTGAATCTGTGAATCTGAATCCAATGGAGGCACTGCTGGCCACAACGGGACAGAAGCCACACACCAGCGCTAAGAGTCCCTGAAGCAGAAATTGCTTCTATTTCTTCCAAAACCCATGGGTGATACCCAGTTGAACACTACATGCCGAATACCGGTTACAGGAGGCTGCACAGTCCACTGCGCTTCCGAAATAGCCATTGCAAATAGTGCAAATATTTGTCAACTAAATCGCGTTCTGATTCAATGGCACGAACTTTGCCTCAGCCTGCGCTCCAAATGTTCCAGATTGTACAAAAACCTTATGACATCTTATAACCATATATGGTATTGGATCAGCGGGCGTGCCTGCATCCGATACTGCAGTGCACTACCCAGCGCTTCCTGGCACTCTTCATGGCTTGATACATCTCCTGGGCATTCTTCTCCCGAAACGCCTTTATTTGTAAGAACACTTTTCCACACATGAATCCTTGTCACAAGGTTGCTAACGATCTCAGCTCAGCTGACTCTTGTTATTTGTAGTCATTATTTCTTCACCCATCAACAGTCCTTTCAAACAACAACAACAACAACAACAACAACAGTCCTTTCAAACATCACTTCCACAGGCACTTGGGTCGTGCGTCTCCGGTCCCTTGGAAAACGCACCCACCGCGGAAGTGGAAGGCTGACATGGGGTGGGCAAACCAAAATGGCCGGCTTGAACGTTTTGGTTCACTCAGGAAGTCAAGCTACATGCACTCCAGGAGAGAGACAGTATTATATAGTCCAGCTTTGCCTTCTTGGAACCAAACGGGCGAGTCCATGTAAAAGTCTCTCCTCATTGATACCATCAGTATGTGGAATTTCTGCAGAACATCGCAGAACACAAAGTTGACATCGCCACCAAAAAGGAAAACAACCACTTGGTGGGTCTGAAAAACCCAAAACCTGGTGACCCTCCGCAGCTTGGAGACCCTCTCCACAGCGAAATGGTGCCCAAGTTCCATCCACCTCTCCATCTCTCCACGCCTCAGAGATCTCAGCGCCGCACCCCCAGCGCCGCCAGCATCGCTCGCACCCGCGCCGCCTGCGGAGAGGTTTTGGCTCTGAAAACGACATAGAACTGTAAGGATCATGAATGAACAACGGGGTCAATGAAGTTATTTGTCATCTTCCAAAACAATTTCATCTACACCAAAGGGGTAGCTTTTGAACCCTGTAAAGACTGATATGATCAGCAATCCACTTCTGCTCCTGGCTTGGGAAAACTATATTCCAATGAGAAAAAGGCTCTTTGGCCGAGATCAATCGGCCTTGGTGTCCTATCTCCGCCGCAGTGGAACTACATCTCTGCCAGCACGAGGAATCCTGGCGACGGGGAGTCGCAGTCAAGCAATGTCTTGTACTGTAGACTCCATAAATAAACCGCCTCCAATGCACTGCATAAACTGTGTCTTAATGTGCTGTAGACTCTTGATTCATAGACCATTTGGATTGAAAAGCCTCTTCATATTGGCTTTGCTTCTTGGTTGCGCCTGTTGATGCGGATAAGTTGGGTCCTTAAAGCAATCAGTCGGTGTGAAACCCTACGTTTTGCCTCCACAATGTTGGTACGGTGAGACCACATGTCAAATGTGTGGTTGTTGTATGTTGTTGTTGTTGTTGTTGTTGTTGTTGTTGTTGTTGTTGTTGTTGTTGCTTGTTTGATAGAGTGCGAAAGCGAGCTGGATGAAGACCAGTCTGACAAGTCTGATGTCGAATAGATCTGCATGTATAGTAAAGATCAGTGCCTACCAGCTATTTTGATGTGTGGTCCATGTGTTTTAACGATTTGTTGTTAACGCTGAATTTGTGTTACGCCTCTCATGTTTTCACCAACATGAACAGGGCCATAGTTGACCTACCATGACCTACCTAGCTTCATGTCACTTGAAACAACGGCTACCCGCATCAAAACAATAATCCTTTGTCACGAGTTAGATCAAGTTAGTACTTATCATCTGCAAACTATAAAAGGACTCCTAGGACAAACATTTCCTCTACAAACCGGTTCCCCCCAAACAAACATCTGCAGAAATTCACACCTTGAGAAGTTCTGGCATGTGGCAGGTGGCCATACAGATCTAGAAGTTATAGAATATGTCTGGGTCTGGGTGCGACTCCCTATCGAGTCTTCCACTTTCGATTCCCCGGTCGTCCGAGCCGGAAAAAGACCAAACCGTCCGAGGCCGTTCGGTCCGGCACCTGAGGACTGATCAGCTCATCTATGCGCTCGCGGGTCATCGGCCTCGGTCTTCCATTCATCCCGCATGGGAAGGTCCGCATGGGAAGGTCAATATGGGGAAGGTTTGGTCCACATGTGACATGTACGTCTATCCACCGGTCAATTTACAGTATCTGTCCCTATATATACATCTACCTATCAAAATCAATCTATTCTGCTTGGGGGAATCTTAGGGCACGAAAAGGGTCGAGAGAACCGCTTGAGGTTGTCGACGCAAGCAGTTACTCGAAAGTGGGGAACTGCTATCGTGTAATGTATTGGGCGAGATACCGCCCAAGAGTCTTTCGGTGGTCCAATTTGTCATTGAACACCCGCTCTCATGAAGACACCAAAAAGAACCCTTTGCAGAAAACAGCATCCAAAAAGACATGTGTCCCAACAACTAGACCTAGCCAGTCAGCTCGTTTCTGTCAAACGCAACACGTTGGCTTTAGCTACCTCAACTCCTCCACGTGAAAGCTCTGAGAAAAAAGGCTGAGCTCTGCTCGGGTAGGTCTCTCGGTAGTACTTCAAGTGCGAGCCGGTGTAGTCTTCGAACCTGGACCGGTACCCCTCAGGTCACATTCCGATCGTGACCGGAATTGATTCGAAACAGAGCGACCCGTTCTCGCCGGAGAGCCGATGTTTTCCAGGTCCACCGAGTCTTTCACCTGTTCATTTGGAGTAGGATGTCACCAATCCCCCAAAAAGGTCAAAGGTTATCCACTGACTGCAGAAATAGGAGAAGGGACACTTTTGGCCGCACAGGAGTCTGGCCATAGCTGAAGAACTCCTTGTAGAGGTTAGGTGATGAATTTTGGCCGTATCTTCAACCAAAACTCCAAAACACCCGCAAAGCATCGTAAAGCCGCAGCCACCATAATGCAGGAATCCTTGGAACCGAGGATTGAAGATGTTAGGGCCATCGTTTTGGTGCTATAGCCTATAGCTAGACAAGGGAAAGGAACCAGTGAATTTCTACAATCTACATCGTACAGGACCTGAAATCCATAGCTATGCTTCCACACAGAAGTGTTTCACATTTCAACTTACAGTACCAGCTTAAACACTTCTTGTAATCACCCCATATCACCCCTGAGCATCCCTGAGCCAAACTGGCCACCGCACGTCGAACAAAGTCACATGGCTCTCCATAGCCTGGACACTTTCTCATCCTCTCTCGTGCTCGACTCGTCAGCAGTCCAAGCAGCTGCGGCTCGGAGGGAACATCTTCCTTTTCCTGTCTGGATCGGCTGCGAGCTGTGAGGCTACGAAGCAGTTCACTTTCACTCCCCTAGTTCCACAACAGGAAAGTAATGTTCACGATCTTAAAGGATTTGGCAAGACTGAAGATCGAATCATTCACACCATGGTGGTTGTTGTTGCTGCTGGTGTTCCTGTGAATTGCACGAATCCGAATGTACACCAGACCATGTAGGTCAAAATCCACCGAGAGATCTCCAGCTCCACATCTCCACTTTTGCAACTCGCATGTTTCACTTCCTCTCCCTAGACGAGTTTCGAGGCTGTTGGAGTGTTCAACGAGTTGTACTGAGTATTACGCAGTATAAATTCCACCCGAAAAGGTGGAACAATTCTTCAAAAAGGCCCTTGACCTTTCATTGTTTTTGCGGGGGCTTCCTCCTTGTGGGCTCCCTCCTTCACACGAGCAGCTCCGAAAGACACCCTCTCCGCCGCTCCTCACGCTTGGGTACTTCCCTGCGTGAAGAGATTGGCGGGTCGTGGTCTGAAACCTTGAGAAGTCACCGTTCAAAGAAGGGCTTGATGAATCACAAGCAAGGCCAAGGGGTCTGATAGGACCGTTCTTTTTGAGACGAATGTGTTCTGGATATTCTGGATTGTACCTACAATATGGGTGTAATCTCCATGGGTAG